CCTGCAGAAAAAGAAAAAATTGCATGCAAATCTAATAACATACCGATGCATTCAATCTCAGGTGACCATTTTCCAAACATACAAGTTGCTTTTTTAATGATATTGTTTGATTTACATCTGTAATATATAACTTTTTGGCCTCCAGTCTCCTTATTTGGCTTGGAAACACGTTCCGTATTCACTATCTCAACATCCTCTGGAGCAACACATTTACGAGATGGATCTAAATAAAACCCAACACAAATAGTTAAGAAATAGATTTGTAAGTATGCATTTACTGATGAAGAGGGCGTCGGTTTCATAATGCATGTCCATGTGAAATTGTTATATTTACTGCAGTCTGAAATAACTCCAAAGATTCCTAGATGACAGGAACAGAATGATTCTTTGTTCCTTCTATTTAAAGCGGAGAGTGTTCCCACTCACAGAGCAATTATTTTTAAGTTGACAGGATCCCTTTCGCTATGTACAGTAACAGAAAAACTAAGCATTCTTTTCCTAAGTCATAACCGGGTCTTGTGTCCTTGACTCGTGCTTCTGAGCGTCATAACACAAACTACCTCTGAAAGCTAAGCAAACTGCGTTCTGTGCCAGATTCAGTCCTCAACATAACTGTAAATACAGGAACAATGTATTCAAATCACCGATGAATATAAAAGCACTTCTGAAGAAAGGGTGAACAAAGAGTAGGACACATCATAAACTGTATAAACTGTATCCTGTTAAAGATAAGGAAAGTGCTGGAGTAACTTATCCCAGCTGAGACTCCTTCCTGAACAATATCGCCTTTTTACCACTGACCCTAATGCAAACAGTCATTTTCTTTAACTTGGGCAGAGGGCTTGTTTTAGATTTTTTTTTTTTTTTAAACATTATAGTTTCAATAATTTATACATTGTGAAACTAAATGGGGAGATTAGGAAAAGGAGAGAAAACTACATGTCAGAAATGAAAAGGCCTAATCTATGTAAAAATAGCACGAGCGGATGGGATTAGCCTAGCATACTGTGGCTATTAATATGTTTTTTAATTCCCACTATGACTTCAAAAAAGTAAAACAGTATTTGAAGGCATAAAATTACAACAAATTAACAAAATGGGCATGCTATTTTATTGCTGGTATGTCCCAAGGTATTAAAGGGTCTTTAATTGGGAAGGTATAGTGGAAAACGGGTGAAAACCTATCGCTGAAAGGCCACACTACACCAAAGATTTATCTCCATATTTGATTCTACCCACTGTGCAAGGGTCCATTTCCTTCTGTAAAACTACTCAGAGTATTTAGAAATTGGTAGGATTAGAGTCTTTCCAGGATCAAGGACATGATCATATTTAAAGGGGAGTAAATGAAAAAATTAGTTGAGATGTTTGATACATGAGTGTCTCTGTCTACATATTGATTAGTGAATTCCTTTCAACTTTGAATAGAACTACGTTACACTCACATCTGAAATTTTATAGAAATGTTACGGAAATAGATTACCTCCACAAAAAGGTAAAGGTTTCCATTCCCCATTAAGACATTTTATTTTCTTTTTCCCATAACTTCCTGAGCCTCGTTTACATCCATAGCTTACTTCATCACCATGAGAAAACTGGGTTTGGTTTTGCTGCTGAAGAACCACATTCGGAATAGAGGAAGGTGATTCACATGGCATTTTATCTTCTGTTCAAAAAAAGCAGAAGTATTCCACAATAATATTGGTGCCATATATGAACATCTGAAAGAACTCAAATAAAAATATTTATATTTGCATTTGGTGGGTCAAACCTACTCCCATTAATTGTAACAACCAAAATCCTACAGAGCTGGAAGATGCAAATATATTTTAGTCATTTTACTAAATCCCTCATGTCTCTGCTCCCTTCCTTCTCCCTCACTGTGGTAGCTCCACAGCACATTCCACAAATCAAATAAATTCAGCTAAAGTTAATTTCACAAACTGTGTTTTTCACAGGTACATAAACTCTCAAATGTAAGAAAACTTTCAATTAATCCAACACCTGGATTCTTGAGTTCTTACAGTTCCCACTCAGCGTGATATTTGAATACACATACACATCTGTAACATATGCTTTCAATTAATATCGTTATTACAAGAACTGAATAATACTGTGACATTACTTAGAGGGCTGCAGGGCTGCCAACTCTTGTGATAACTGCAGTTCTTGGTTTTGGCCGTCACTGTTGCTGTGACAGTGATGGCAAAGGATGTAGGAGGACAGCATGGCAGTAGTTCATTTGAGGGAGGAGAAAGGAATGTAAGGTGGAGAAGGGCATATGGCCTGCTCTCTGTGGGGGAGAGGGAATATGCATGATAAAGTAAATAATTGGATTTGAGCAATTTTCCACTCAAGTTTGAACCACTCTTGTTTTAAGTGTGTTTACAGAAACTAGTCTTTGTGTATTGAAGTCAGTAAAGTATTGAAAAGATGCCAGCAGTCACACTTGTAGGGACAGGACAAACCAGTCCATAAGAAAAACAACATTTATTGGTTCTGCTGTTTGATCATCTTGCTCCATAGGAACACTCCTAATTATTTTCTGTATGTACAGATTTTATAATATTTCAATCTAATTTCAATCTATAGTGAATTATAGATTTTTCATAAATAAGAGAGTTCTATAGGTTACCAATGCAAGAGGGAGGAGATGACCATTGTCCATCAACACACTCTATTTCCTTTGATCCAATCATTTTAAATTCGGTGTTGCATTCATATTTTGTTCTGTCCCCATGCCAATACTGTTCCACAAAGTCACTGATAATACTTCCATTGGCAATCTCGGGTGGAGGTGCACAGCCTCTGGGGTCAACTGAAATCAAGAGATCAAATCTGTGCTCTGAAGTCAGTACTTTTAGCACAATTATATGTAAACTGCAACAAATCCTCCCTGAATTTGTTGTTTAAAGTTATAAAAATTGTTAGAACTGCTTGAATAGGTCATTGGTTTATGCCTCCGAAAATGTGGATTCATGTTCGACCGGAGATCACAAATAGACATGAGTGACCCTGCCTCAGTCTATGCTCTATTTCCATGCACTACTTCCTGCTACGATAAAAAAGTAGATGAACCAGCCCAGTTTTAAAAGAAGTGTTACGCACATGATGACTCCCATTGCTTGTGAAAAGGCAATGAAAATCCTGCAAATAATATTGACATGTGTTATGCAAATCATCCAGCAAGGGATATGTACTGGATATTAGGGAATTCATTTCTGATGAAGTGAACGGAACTCCTGTTATGGGAACTTGGTATGTTCCTGAGCTAACGGGACAAGTATATGAAATGTACTTGTTTTTAGAAGCAAAGGAAAGTGAGCAAAAAACAAAAATAAAGGTGAGAGCAAAAAAAATGATGTTACTGACAAAGCAGGAAGGAAGAGAGATGAGAAATATGAGATCCCTTCATCCCCTTGAACTTCTTCATGAAGCATCAGCAGAATAAACTGTTTTCAGATGTTTCTAAGTGGTAGTCTGTCTTAAAAAGGGTAAGAAGAATATGGGTATATGTCTTCCTCTCTGCAAGGGTTTGTTCATCCCATAGGATGAAGCTGAGGGGTTTCACAAGGCAAAGCCTTCACTGAATTTCTTTTGCTTGGGTCCAGCTGTGTGTCATCTCCAAAACAGAAAAAGGAATATAGGGTAAAATATTTGATGAGTGTCAACGCTAGGCAGTGGCAGAAATTATTTAGGATAGAGAGGATATTACTCAGATGAGTCACTCCTTGTAGCCAGACCACACACTGTCTATCCCTTTTTGAATAACAAATGTTTATATATTACAGTCAATGATCTGAGTAGAATTTTGTGCAAGCCATTTACCCGCTCACTGTCCATTACCACAGAACTCCAACTGTGGTATAACTAAAGCTACATAATAAAACCAAAAAGAAAAACATTTGGGCTGACTACCAAGAAAAACGTTCTAGATGTTCAATGTTTTGATACATTGAAAAGCGAACACTGAAAGTTCAGCCATTCAGAATCTTTCACAGGAAACAGCAAAATACTATGAATGGATACGAAGACGACCAGTTCCTGTCCTTTTAGAGAGGAGGTTGGGATAATTGTTCTTGGGAGCAAGACTGGTGTATAGGAGGTGCCCACAGACGTGTTGGGGACACTGATATTTTGATGCATTTCCTACTAAAATAAAGTTAGCAGAAGAATTACCTTTACATATTGGTGGTGGTGGAAACCATCCAAAGTAATAGCACTGAGCAGAGGCAGGTCCCACTCTTACATAATTTTTTGCACAAGTAAATCTCACAACATCTCCATTGTGATATTTACCCTTCCCGGGGGAAACATCTCCATTGGGCAATATCAGCATTTCACATTCTATTGCTATGAAGAAAAAAAATGTTTTGGCATATAGTATAAAACCTACAAAAAGTATATGCAATACTACTGACTAGAACAAAGCCAAAGAAGGTCTTAAATAAAAAGGCTTCACAAAGTTATACTGATTAGCAAACGCACAAAAATCTTTACCAAGACACTGGGGCTCTGGAATCAATTCACCATTTATGTCACATCTTGCAGTACCAGTTGTCATATTATTTATAGTTTGATATCCATCTGAACAGGCATACTCAAGTGTATCTCCAGGCAGGAACACAGTTTTATTTACGTGGTAATTCAAAATCTCATAACGAGGTATTTTACATGGTTCTGTAGAATTAAACAAAGTTAGTACATTTTGTGAACTAGAAGCAATGCCCTTTGAAACCATCATTTCTGTATGTATTTTAGTGTGTGCTAGTCTAGTGAACTATTCAGCATATTTAAAACAGTAAAAATTCTGCATTGCAGAATATGGGTATAGAATACAACAAGGAGAGTATTCACATTACACCTATTGCATTAATTTTCAGATATATGTGTCTAGAAGTAATGTCTAACATAAATATTTCTTCCTCGGATTCAATTCCTTTCTTTCTTTTGCTGTACTACCTAATATTACTATTGGTGTCATATCACACAGATTGTATGCATGTTCCCCTAGGCCATTTGAAAGGGAGTCTGAAAAAAAAAAGTAAAATCCAGGTAAAGGCAGTCTAAAATAAAAGGACAATATAAAATGCCAACTACAATTGGTCAATTGTATCATAACACTGGAAGACTAAGTCTCTTCTTTTAGTATCCCACACCTCTGTTCAGGAGAGGAAGAGACTTCTAAGATGAGAAAGGCAACAACAGTATGGAGGCACTTTCAGGAATATCTACTCTGGTGCTTTTCACAGATGTCCTTTCAAACCATAGGGCAGGCAGTATAGCCTATTCTTTCATTTATAGTGATAACATCTTTTCAAATAATGGATTATATTTTTTACTACTTTGGTCATATTTAAATTAAGTTATTGACATAATCCCCGGGTTCACAGGCATTTCTTCCAAAAACTTATCCTCACTAGTGCAAAAGGTGCTCATCTTCTAATCCAAGGGAAGGGAGAACAGGCAGTAAATTTGGGCATACGCATGTGATAGCAGATAAGAATCACTGGAAAGGGCAGTGATTATCTACTCCACACCACAGAGTCCAAAAAGATGGCTTACCTAGAAGACAGTAGACATCTTTCCTGCTTACCCAATGCCCTTTTTCTTTTCTCTATTTATTTCTTGGAGCCCCACAAAGGCCTGTTTCTGGAGGCTCAGTCCTCTACTTGAGTTTCCCTCCACCCAGCACAGGGAGAAACTGTACTGATCTAGATGACAAAAACCAGAGTACATAGGACATCTTGTCCGTGCCAGTGACAATGACAGAGAACTCTGAAGCCTTTATGCTACTCACTGATGCACTTTGGAGGAGGAGTCCAGCCACTCTCTTGACACTGTATCTGTCCTGTTTCTTGTCCTTCTGCAGTTACATAGTTAGTATGACACTTATATGTTGTCTCCTCCTGTAAATGAAATGTTGCCTTTCTCCTGGTGAAATAACCATTGGTAACCTGAATATTCTGGCATATTTCTAAAATAGAAAGACAGAATTTCTTCCAGATAAACATTGCTAAACCGTATGCTTATAATACATATAAGAAGGAGCACAAATGAAAACAGCAGTAGGGTTTAGAATATTTTTAGAAGCACATGAATTTCTGCCTCTGCCTTGAGCTCTCTTCCTGAGGGAAAACTGGAAAAGTGAAAAGTTCAGTTACCAACCGGTGCAGCACAAACAGGGACAGACCAGGGCCAGGGTTTGAGCTGCAGCAATCTTTTATGCTCCCAAGCCCATATGTCCACATCTGGTCTCCACTGGCAATGAAATTCATGTTAGGCATACACTATGCCGGGCATGCATAAAGACCTAAGCGCTGGAGGACATTGTGTCGATATTGCAAGTGAGGCACTCTAGAGGCCACCCTATGGTGTTCAAGTATAACCTCAGTTCTACCATGGAGAAATGCTTCAGAATAATCCAGTGGTGGAGCACATACTGCAGCACATACTGCAGGACTAAAGCAAATTTGTACGAAGGGACCCCCTCTTGCACGCTAAATCATTAGTGTAGAGGCACCCAACGTTGCACATGATTTCACATCACTTGGGATACATTGTTTAAGCCAATCTAACAGGATGGAAATCAGTCACCTTGGTTAGATGTTATCATCTCGTACTTTGGGAGAAAACTTCTGCAGTATGTTCTTTACTATTATGGCATTCTTTAAAGGAGTTTCTTCATTTTAGGAAATTAAAATTATAACAAATAGCAATATTTGTGCATTAGATAGTCAAATAAATAAGACATGGAAAAAATAAGACTCTGAGGAAGACTAGGAGATGTATTTGAATGTTAGGGGTGGAGATAATGATACTTTAGTACAACAGCTTCAGGATTTTAAATTTCACATGTGATTTTGAATTCATGTTTATACCAGAGATGTCCACTATTGCCTAACACTTGAAATGATAAAACTTTATTTTGCTTGCTCAGTGGCTGTCCAAAACATTCTCTGACAGGTGTCTCTCTCGGGCTAGTATATTTTTCTAAAAAAGATATTTTTTACAGCTTGAGAGAAGGATGTTAAGCTGAATTATTTCTTTTGTCTGTATTAAATTATTATTTTAAGTATTATTTTAAGTATTAAAGTATTTTAAGTTTCTGTAAGAAGTTCTAGCAATTTCAGGCTTGGAAGAAGAACGCTACAAAACCTCTAAACAGAGTTAGCAGCAGTAACCTTCCTATTCCCCCTCCTCCACGATGATGCCACCTGGAAATGAAGCTAGAGAAATAGAGATCAGGTGGCACAGCTACAGGCTGAAAGGAAATAGCAAAGGATAGGCTGCAGAAAGAGAATGATTACTATTTATTACATTATTGCACTACTAGGCTATCCAGGATTTCACTACTGAAGACAAAGACGGTATCACTCCCATCCCAGAGCTTACATTCTAGAGATAAGAACAAGTCATGTGTGAGCATTTTACACAGTTACATTCTGTAACTGCATGCTCGTACAGCCACTGACCTGAAAAGCATGCAGGGATGTGACAAGTCAGCTATGAGAATCACAGCATTGTGCTTTGAGTTGTAGATTACCTGGAATTAGACTTATCTTAAGCAGTGGTAGAAAATTAATGTGGGGGTCATGGTGATGGATTTATTGCTTTTAGCTAAAAACCTTGACAAAATATAAGCACTACTCACTCTTACGGATACATCTTGGAGGAGGTGACCAGTCATTCTTTGTGCACGTAACTTGATCACGCTGATTTTCAGGGCTATAGTCATGATTACAGGCATATCTAGTTCTATCACCTTCCTTGTAAATATTATTCCGTTTATATAGGAAATAACCATTTTCCAGCTGTCTCAGTTGACATATTTCTAAAGAAAAAAGGGGAGTACATTTAACCACTGTAATTCATGCAGCTAAGACAGAAGTAAATTAATCCTTAGGAAAGTACTTATTGAAAAAAGGGTCCTCCTAGCACCTTTCTGTATCATTCCATCCCTAAAAGACCTTCATGTTCAAACCTAAATCAAAGCATGTTTTCTTCCACTGCCCTGAGATTAACGAATCACATGAATAGGAGTGCAAGTAACTACATAAAGAGCTAATAAGTAGTCCAGTAAACCATATTCCTCATCTAGTGTTCATAAACAAAGTCAGTTAACTTCAATGTATCTAGCACCATGTACACCAGATCTTGTTTGGTCTGCTGTGTCTCTAAAATCTTGATGTCTGCACAGAGTCATTTTCAGCATTTGCCTTCAGGTGACTTTACCCTCTCTGTGCAAATGTATCACCCGCTCACATATTACAGGTCTCGTTTTAGCAGAATCTGAATATTAAAACAAAAAAGGTTCTTATAGAATCCAAGCAGACAAGGTCCTCAATTTCCAGTATATATGAGAAAAACATACATGTTTGCACTGGATTGCGTCTATGTTGAAGATCATACATTGGCATTTTATAAGCCCCAAATTAACCCCAAAAACGAGATCTAACAAGGTGATTTACATTGTACCACAAAGCAGCACTGCCGTGTGACAGTCAGTATAACAGCACAGAAAAACCTGTGCCTCACGCTTGTGGAGGAAATGGATAAAAAGGAGTAAGCATGGGCTGTAATTCTTATTGTTATTTATGAAGATTCTGGTATTGTATTAAAAAAAAAAAAGATATAGCCTTCCATGTATAACAATGGCATATTCCATTCTCAACACAGCTTACAATCTAAATTTAGATTTGATGAAACAGTATGGGAAGAAAGCCAAATGATTACAGCAAAACAATCAGGTAGTTGTTCTAGGCAAGACTATGCAGTGACATCAGGTAAAACTGGTTTTTTTTTTTCCTCATACACCAGCAGTTTTAATAAACAAAGCTGCATATTTTTAAACAGGACCCACCAACAGAGCATAACCTCTGTTGACTGTCACACATACATTCAGAAGAAGGCAACCAGGCATTCCTATGTATGTAGGAATTCTGTATTAATGATTTCTAGAGATAAGATTAGGGGACCACTGTTACTGAAGTATGTAATTTTCAGTGTAGGTTAACCAACATGTCACATGTTTTTACACATTTTTGCCAGACTAAGAAATAACATTTCTGATGAGAGAGAGAAAAAAGAAATTTGTGGTTAGAAAAGTGGAGCAAATGAAATAACCTTTTACATAACATTGATATACTTTTTACTGCAAAGCCTTCTCTTTTCAAATCCATATCGGGTTGCACAAGCAGTTTCCAGACCCTGTGGTGCGATCCTGACCGTTCTGAACCAATGACATCATTTCACTAACAGTGGGACCACGCTTCATTCCAAACCTTCCAACTGTACAAGAAGTCATCCTTGATCCACGTCAGTATTTGCTACAGAGGAACCCCTCAAAACCAGCTTTAACAAGAACTAAGCATGCTGGCTCTACAACTTCCAGCATCCCCAGCAGCCCAGAGGCAAGGAAATGGCTGAAGGAGTGCTGCAGCTGTGTTGCTGTAGTAAACTTGTCCTTTCCTATGGGAAGGACTCCACTCATCTCCTGTGCTCATCTCCACTCCACTGAGCATCCATCACTTTTGTAAGCCACTTCCAAGCCCTACTGGTAGGTATGAACCGTACTGTGACTGAAGATGTTTGTTAGAAGAGGAAACCTCAGCTTGCTGGTTTAAATATACTTCCTATAGTGGATTTATTAAACCATGTATCTGGATCTCTTGCTGTATCCATGCTCACTCACAGCATATTGCAAAAGCACGCCTTCCCAGCTCCAAATGTTATTGAAAAGGACCAGGGAAAGAATCCCAGAGAATAATCTCTAGACAAAGTCCCCAAGCCACTCAAGAAAGAATATATTCACACAGAGTAGAAACTCTATGTTGTGCATCTGTGTGTGTGGATGAAACTTGATGCATGCACGTGACCTGGAAACCAGAGGAGAAAAATTTCCTGTGCTTTCTCAACCTCATGGATAGTTTTGGGAGTATAAAAGCTCCCAAATCCAAAAGAGTCACTTCAGCCTCACTCATTTCAGACTGAGGAGGGCATCTTTATCAAGTGACATTTTCAGCTCCACAGATAGCATGAGGGTCTGGTTGCAGTTCCAGGGGTCAACTGAAGCAGTGATTTCAATAAACTGTCTTCTTTCCATCTTGCACTCCATTAGCACAATTTTTGCTGCATAGACCTTTCATAATTATAAAATAATTAAGCATACAATGGAAATATACTTACTGAGGCATTTTGGCTCTGGAAACCAACCCTTTGTAGAACAGACAATTCGAACCCAGTTTTCTCCACTTGGGGCTGAGTAACCATTATGACAGCGGTAATCAGCTTGCTGCCCAATGCTCATTGGAAAGTAATAGTTTCTGTGGTACTCCAGGGCCCTACTCAACACTCCATTTTCTATAACTGGGTAGTCGCACGGTTTCCCTTGAAATAGAATGCAACAGCAACAATATCAACACATGTGCTGAAAAAAGGTACAAAACACAAAGTTCTGAATACTTATTCAGATTTAATTCCATTATTCGAGTGTTTCCTCAGACTGAAAGAATTCAGGACTCTACACCTTGGCAGGTCCCAAGAAGTGCAGGAATCATCTCTCTGTGCTTTTGGTGTCTGTCAATTTGTATACCCATCGGGTTGCCTAAGTTTCCATTGCAACCAGCTGAAATCCAATCAATATTCTCAGTGGACTCCAAAGGCTAATTCAAGACACCACAAAAGTATGTATTCTATAATGAGACAACTCTATTTTTTAGAGTGACTTGACTAAATTGATTATACTGAGCATGATAGGAGCCCAGACAACTACCTCAGATTTAGACACTGCACTGTGGACTGTTAAAATTAAGGAGATGACTCCAGTCACAACCTTCATGTGTAACTTTTGGGTGCCCACACCAAAAGCTCTTCCTAGCTCTTCTGATTCTTTAGACTTTAAAGCTACAGTGTTATTTTTTTCTCAGTTCCTTGAAAGAATTGACCCTTTTCAGGGAAAATCCAAGGGTAGAAGGGGGTGACTTCTAATGGCTTTCACTCACAGTTTAGCCAGAGCATCCCACTTGGCCATGACAGGTAGGCTACTCCTGGAGTGCCAAGATCCAGATCCCATGTCCTGGGGGAAGGGAAGGTGGAAGAGGAATGACCCACTGTGCAGACCATTCAGTAATGAGTGAGGTGGTCTCAGGAAGGTACCTGAATTTCAGCACCCCCACACATACAGAGGAAAGACTAATCTGCTAAAAATGCACTTTTGAACAACTCAAATCATCTTATCAAAAGGTCTGCTTACAAGACTGATTTCTTCAGGGTTTCTCCCACCTCCTTTTGTTTTCTAAGTTTGTCTTTTATTTTCCGTGAGGAAAGCTCAAAGACTGCCAGATTATGAAATTAATTACTAATTCTCTTTTTACATTGTGCCCACACAGCAAAACTATCACTGCCGTTTTGGGAAATTTAACCCGAGAAGGAACTCATAAACAATCAAGAATCTCTTAATTTGGCATTTGACAGATTATAGTAAGTGGAATAAACCTGTGATCATTTATGATATACTAAAACACAACTGAGAGTAAAAATCTAGAGCTGTGATAACTACGACAAAACATGCCTTCCAACCTTCTGTAGGCTTCAGTTTGGCTATTTTACGACTCACTCTGTCTTCTTACCTTGGCTGGCATGCTACTCCTCAGCTGGACAGATGTAACACCACAAATCTTCCTGTCAGAGAGCTGACTATAGCACATTTTAACATATAATCTCACAAACACAGTAATAGGTAATACCTGTGTTCATAAACATAATGTAGATATAAAGAGAATATACCACTGTTTTTATAGCTGATTTTTCCAAAACCATCAAATTAAGTTTTGTGAGACCAAGAAACACAATGAATAAGCATCTTCTATTTCCCCTGGTGCTGCAGTTTTTCTCTTGGCCTCTTTTTTACTAAGATATTTCAAGAACAACAGCTTTGAATGTTTTGTCTTCACTCATGAACGCTACTTACCAACACATTCTGGAGGAGGCACCCAGCCATTCTTGGTGCATTCAGCAGTGTTTTGGCCAGAGACTACTTTAAAATAATATCCAGAATTACAGTGTATGGTGATCACAGCCCCTTCTTTGTATATACCTTCTTGAGGCCCAAAGCTGCCATTGGGAACTCTTGGAGGAGAGCATAAAATTTCTAAATACAAAGAGAAAAACAAGATTCTTGTCTGAAGAATATTTTTATAACTATTTTTATTTTATTAGTGCTTATCTTCACAGTGTACAGACTGTAACTGCATAATATTGCCAAAATCAGATTTTTTAGGCCAAAGAAAAAGTTACAACTCTCTCTCACTCATGGATGTATATTTGTAAGAAAAGACTGTCTCATTGGTGTAGAAGAGAAGAGAGTGATAGCTTTTACTGAGGCATTAGGCAGTTAAAACTGAACTGCAAAGGGAATGGTTGGAACTAAAGGTGATCAAACTGAATTTGACTAGTCTTTTCCAGTAGGTCGCGGCACAGCTGGAGCCCAAAATGCCTTGTGCTGGGCTCTCCTACAGCTCTCCTGGGCTTGGTTTACGGACAGCTTCCCAAAGGTGGCTAGGTTCATCGGCAGATCCTAAATGCAAACCCAACTATACTTAACTACAACCTCATCATTCAAAGGCCGTATGATCAAGACCAAGGTGATGCACTGGCACTGGAAATATTTCACCTGAGAAACTGAGAAAGGAGAAGAATGCTATTCTGAAAGCTCATGACATCTTTATGCCTGGAGAAACCAAGTAAATGCATTCTTTAAAGCCTAGAGGCTTTCTTTTGTTTTTGTAATATACTTCCAATTCAGAAAATCACACCAACACACTCAGGCCTGGAAAGGGATGACTATATGGTCACTACAGATTGGTTCTCCTGTGGAGTGAAGATGGGTGACTCAGTGGTATGCATGTGCTACTGGATCACACAGGTTCAAGTGGTAAGTCAAGCAGGATCCACAGCCACTTCATGGTGGCATAAAGCTAAAGGAATGGAGCAGGAGAGAAACTATGTTTTATTTTTCTACTACAGAAGGATGTTCTTTGAGGGGACTACTATGTTTGAACATGTCCCAACTAACAGAGCCCAGCAGAACAGCGTTCGAAAGAATGTTTCGGTTAGCATTTCTCAAAAGCAGTATGTTGCAAAACCATAGGCAATGCATATTAATTAGTATCATTACTAATCTTGAAGCAGAAAGTTCAAGGATTGAGGTGGACACTAAGACTAACTATTATTTATTACTAAAGGAGTCTTTCTGGAAGAGGTTCTGGGAGTGTGGGTGGTACATAACATCCTATAATGTTGCCCTGTTGCCAACATTTTTTTCAGTTTCAAGTGTTCTTTGGCAATTTCTTGGAGATGTTTTGAGGCGTACATGATTTTCCCCAAATTTATATCAAACTTTCAGCTAGAACACAATGTGCATATTTCTATTTGTGAGATTTGGAGTTCTAATTATAGTCTTTAAGGCCTTTCTTTAAGGGTTGAATGAAATTAAAGCAAAATTTATGACCCACAGTGCCAAACAGGCACAGTCAAACAGGACTAGCCACAAAAGTCATGGATTTGTCATCTGAACTGCATAGAAGGCGTATGGGAGCTAGAAAGCATGAGGGAGTTCCAGCACTGTAAGAGATCCTCAGACAATTCCTGATCGAAAGTTTGAATAGCATCAAGGCAGTGGCTGCACAATTACAACTCTGATGACATTAAACAAACTGCTGTCCTCACCCTAGCCTAAGAAAGCTTGGCTAAGCTATCATGGACAATGATAGCATTCATGCAGACCACATTACTTTGGTCTGCCTGGTATGCCTGTTTTTATACTTTGGTATACAACACTTCATGTCCAGGCTGGTTTTTAGGGCTACTGATTTTCAAACCTATGCTGCACACAATTCTTGACATACTGGCTGTGTAGATAATCCTACAGTTTTCAGTTTTATGTACACTCCAATGCTATAATCCCATTGTAATTCTCAGTTGGACTGTGTCACCTTCTGAAATTGGACTACTTCGTGTTTGCTTATGTTTCTTTGGAAATGTTCATGTCAATCTCAGATTTTCTTCCTGTAACCCTCTTTTACTGTTTCAAAAGAACTCTTGAAAGGCACCTCACTACTTTAAGCCAGAATTTTAAACTGAGGGATACTTCCTCGTCATTTTTGCAAGGCTGCACAGTAGACTAACAATTTCTTACTGAAATTCTGTCAGTGAAACAGAGCTCATCTGTGAATTGTTCCTCTTTGGTTGGAACTACTTCCCCAGAGCAGCCAGTCGTCTGGAAATTTCCAGAAAGGACACAATGATTAGCAAGCAGGTGCTCAGTTCGCCAACACTATGGAAATGCTCATGAGGACACTAAGGCAAAATGCAGAAGTCCGTTCAGTAGGTTAAGCAAACTTCTCAAACGTTCATACAGGGTGAGCTATTGAGTGATATTTAACTGAGTGGATAGTACCATGATTACAAGTAGTAGTCTTGACTATGTTGACACAGCATCTCAGATATTGAGCATGGAAGACCTGAAGATGCATTAACTTGGTAATGAGCTAGGACTATTTACTTCCCCCAAACCCATTCATACTTTTACAATTTGTGTTATCAAATATTATTTCTTAATCCAGTCTTCCAACTAGATATAGCACAGCCATTGATTTTTCACTAGTTATGCTCATGTTAAAAACAGAGACTTGGGCTTCACTTATAAAGGTATCAACTCTTGACATGAAGACATTAGGACTTTAAAAAAAAAAAACGTATCTTTAAGAAGTTGGTTTCAAATGTTAATTTCCCCATGCCACTACAAACTTCTGATTTCTTCTGCATTTTGAATTTGTCTGGTATTAATGCTTTCTTTTTCACATGCTTAAATATTCTTTTGGTGTCTGATATTTCCATTCCTTAGCTAAAACACTTTTATTGTCCTTTGTAGAAGGTAAAGGGGTTCAGCTTTAGCCTCCTTATTTGAGCAAATTAGGGAATGTTTCTAATCCATTAATAGTTTTTCTACATTCTCCACATCAGTTCAGAATCTTAAAAAAAAGCTAATCATGCTGCATGATGTATTTTAGCATCAATCTCATTTATGTAGTATACAGTGGCAACTGTATCTTCCTAGACCTAACTAGACCTTCCTAAACCTAGATCTAACTACTCACTTGCTCAAGTAACTAAAGACTGAATTGCCTACTTTTGCTAGAGCTCTATATAGAAAGCTCATATCCAGTTGTTTCATCCCTTTAATACTCAATCCTTCTGGATTAATATCTTCATAGAATACTACTCAGATGTATATGGAATTCTTTTTTTTATGAATAAACTCAATTTGGCATTATTAATCTCTGAAAATATTACTTCTAAACACAACAGAATGTGAAAAATAAGTTTAGCAAAGGCTGACCAGTGCAATAGGGGGTTGGAGTCCATCCTGATTCAGAACATTGTGCTTCTGCTCTTTCACCATATCTATATCCTTTATCACAGGAAAACCGCAGTCGTTCAGACTCCTTGTAAGATGCCTTTGGAGTATGCACATATCCATGCAGAATTTCTGGCGCATCACAGGTAATCTCTGAGGTTGACAAAGACAAAATTCATATTTTTTGCATATTTTTATTCACTAAGAATAAATGCCCCTATTAAACTTTTTTTTTTTCATCTGACATCATAGAAATTGTATTATGTCAACCAAAACATTTGCATTTAGGAACTGTTTGGAATTTATCTGAGAACTCTTCTATGACTTGAGTGTGGGTGCCAGGAAGAAAGTATGGAACAGCATAGCAACAGTAGCAAATTGGTTCATAAGACAGACTTAAGAGCTTTTTTTTTTTTTTTCAAATGGATCTCAGCATCAGAACATAAGGTAGGGGACATTCTAAATTAAGTAACTAGGCTAGCTGAAATTTCACATTTTCCATTTTTCAGATCATTTAATTTCCTTGTAATTTCCAGCATCCAAAAGCTCTCTCGTAACCAGTATGAGATTAGTAAAATTATGGTACCAGCAGAAAAAGAATTAAAGTAACTGGAAAATTGACACTAAAATGCCCGACTACCTATATGAGAAACTCAGTATGCCCATCTCCTGGCTAGACCCAATACAATTATTCAGACCTTGCAGTTTCCAAAATTCCCATTTATAAACCAGAAAGTATTCAAGGGTTTGCTTCCTCGGCCACAGAGCAGGACAACAAAGAGTTCTCGTCAATTTCTTTGCTGGATCTGCTTATGCTTTGGATTAAATGTATCTCATTGGAAGAACTGGCATTGCTTAATAAAATTCACTGTATTTATTCTATAAATATTACAAGCATGTGTGTTTAATTCCAGTTTATGCTGTTCAAGTTAAAAAAGGAGGTTTCAAAACTGCAAAACTTAGCACTGAAACTGTGAATACACCATACATGGATATACATTCTGTCATAGGTAGTCTGCTCTTCAGAACATACACTTCCTTACCAGATAACATATAAATAATCTAAGGAACTTGATGGACTGAATATTAAACAGAGTGAATGTTACAATATGCTTTCTAAGATAACTCATTCATACATACTGATAATACAACTCCCATCAAACTCCATTTGCAAAATGGGAAAAATAATCCCTCATACCAGTAGAAGTTGGGAGCCAACTGGCTAGAAAGCAGCTTTGCAGAAAAGGACCTGAGGGTCCTGGTGGACAACAAGTTGAATACAAGTCAGCAATAGGCCCTTGCAGCAAAGAAGGCCAGCAATGTCCTGGGCCTCATTAGACAGAGCGTTGCCAGCAGGTCAAGCGAGGTGATCCTACCCCTCTACTCAGCACTGGAGAGACCACATCCAGAATGCTGTGTCCAGTGCTGGGCTGCCCAGTATAGGAGAGACATGGGCATACTGGAGTGAGCCCAGCAAAGGGCCACGAAGATGAGTAAGGAACTGGAAAATCTGACAGATGAGGGGAGGCTGAGAGAGCTGGAACTGTTTAGCCTCCAGAGGAAAAGGCCTGGGGGAAGGAGAGGGGGGGCATATCTTATCAATGTGTATAAACACATGATGAGGGTGGGAAGAAGACAGAGGCAGACTCTTCTCAGTGGTGCTGAGTGACAGGATGAAAGGCAATGGTACAAAGTGAAATGCAGGAAATTCCACTTAAACGTAAGAAAACACTTCTTCACTGGGAGGATGGTCAAACACTGGAGTGGGCTGCCCAGAGAAGCTGTGGCCTCTCTTGTGGAGTCTCCTTAGAGATGTTCAAAACCTGACTGGACATGGTCTCAAGCAACAACCTGCTTTAGTTGACCCTACTTTGAGGAACCTTCAGAGGTCCCTTCCAACCTCAGCTACTCTGTGATTTTGTAAAAACAAAATATGAATGAACCTTTTAACTTCTCCAGACATATTAGTGTGAAGAAAGAAAAATCCATCGTGACTTCTTTATATTTTATGTACCTTAAGAATATGAATGAATTAAAATCATACTTGTTCTTTTAAACTAGCTTTATATAGATTCAAAACTGTTTGTAATTACTTTGGTTAAATCAGCACTGAAATGACTGAATCTTATGCAGACATACCTAAGCCAGTTTCAGTGAAACTGATTGCAGTCTGGCAACCAAGCAGCTTGTAATGAAAATGGGGAACAAACAAATGGTCTGTTATGACCAGTATTCTTTGAATTCTCTTGCTTATCCTACTTCTTCTGCATATATGCAATGGAGATTGTTTACAGACAAACTATGCTTAATTTCTGCAGAATAAAGTGAAAGCTTTGCAGAGTCCCATACAACAACCAGTCCCTAGAAGTCTGAGAGTATAAAGCTTTTTAATTACAGATAATAAACTCAGTAATAGTTTTCTTTTTACCTTGGCACTGAGGTACATCACTATTCCATTTTCCATTAGAAGAGCAATGTATTTCTTTAGATCCAGTAAGCTTATAATTTGCATTACATTCAAACTTTACAACCTGGCCAAAGGAAAATTCTTGGTCTAGCTGAAACACACCAGTCATAATTATTCGTCCATTTTCTGGTGCTTTTACTGGGAAACACTTTGCCACTGTAAAACAAACAAACAGACAACTGCTGTCACTTTAAGGTCTATTCTGTAAAGTGAATTGACACACAAAACAACGTAAAATATAGAAAAATCATGGAATTACCTTAAATATTGAAAACAATATTCAGCCTTATTATGCATTCAGATACCATTTGCAACAGTCATAATACAAAACCCTAAGCAGAAAGATAGACTGAAATGGGAGGACACTAGTACACTGGATCTCATTAACCTGTTTTCCACCCTTGCGGGTTAAAGACAGAGTGTCCACTGAACCAGATGACCTTCTGAGGTCCCTCCCAAGGATCAAGAGATCACAAGATCCTGTGATCTTATGAATTGTATGAATGACAGGTGAACACTTAATGACATACGGCCATAAAACCTTGGCAAAATAGGTTCATTTGCCTTAGAGTTATGCCAAACTGAATTTGCTACAGACTAATGGTTTGGAAAAGTGTTGAGCTCTATTGATTGACTAGAACAATTCAGTTACTAGCTAAAAAACCTAGTAAGAGATAGCAGAACAATTGCACTACTAAAGTAAATGAACGCAATATATGTCAGACATGGATTTAGACCTCTTGTATCTCATAACAGTGTAACTGCAGAAAAAGGCGAAGTTAATATGTCACTAGATATTTCTTATTAAGTGGGAAGTGATTGAGATCACAGACCACTCTTAAATGCTCTCATTGGTATCACTGAGAGCATCTGAAGGAGTCTAACATTTTGCCTACCATAGCTCCCACTTTTCCCTGACAATGTTCTCCAACTTATGTGCTATCTGCCTTTTCTATGAGCTCATATTCTATTATCTAGGCTCCTCACAATTACAACATTATACAGATATGTTCTTTCACAGGCAGCTGTACTGTAGCCTAAAGAAAACTCCTCAGTCATGAAGGATAAATCTTATGAGGACTTTGGAATTGCAACATCTTGGTGACATGTGACAAAAACGTTGGGAACCATTGCTCTATATTGCACAGAGATATCTGTATGCCTAAAACTGAAGACATTCAAAATCCAGTAAGCTGAATGGGAAATATCTGAGAACAGCTATTAGGAAATGCTAAATCACAGGTTCCTAACTCCAGACAAGAGAAAGATACCTGCTTTCATTAGTGATTCTTAACTTAGAGACCTCTTCCTGAAATTAATGCCCAAACGCAGAGAGAAATTTCAAACCTACAAACATATGCTAAAACAGACTAGTAGTTAGAAATGAGCTCTGGAAAGAAAGGAAGCCTCTTTTCATAATCATGCAGGTTTGAAACTGGTAAAAAGCTTTCCAAATCCAGGGCATTATCCCAGCCACCCAGCCTGGGGACTGGGTCTCTCTCACTCTTTCTGTCTTACTGAAGTCATTCCACTGTATGCTAATAGAGAGAGGAACCTTTAACGAAATCTTAATGGAGAGGATATTCATAAGGATGAAGGGGGAACGTGTGCTATAAATGCACATACACTCATATACATATTCAATGTCTCATCCCAGATGTCTTTTGTAACCATGTTTTGCTTTGTTTAACATCTGCTCTATCAGGCCCTTGAGGTGAAGCAGGGCTGTAAGACAGTATGGCGGGTGACGAGACTCAGTTTTGTGAATGCTTTTTGATAAAATCTTGAGTACCTACTTGACTAAAGTGGCAACTGAGCAGGCATTTTAGAGAGTTTGACTGCTGGATAACTTGGATTTAGATAGCTGGATGTCTATGTGAATTAATACTTCTTAAGCTGAGTGGTTATTTACCTCACAAGCAGTCATGGTGGCTTGTAGTGTTACTCATAGTGAGCAGTGAAATCACAGACTAGTTCTAGACAGTATCAGACAGATAAAAAGTCAGTTTGATAAAGAATTAAATGTCAAACTCTGTTTACCTTCACAGTGAGGGACATCATTGCTCCATCCATCTGCCTGACACTCACGGTAATTTCTTTGGCTGAGCATCTGGTATCTTATCAAATAAAAAGTAAACATTTCTAAAATACAGCCTCATTACGCGATAGATACAGCAGTGCTGCTGTTATTAAAGCAAAGGAAGTAGGTTTCATATGTTCTAGCATTGGCTAACCCAAAACACGACAAAAAACCAATACTTTTTCTATCTGTGTCTACCCTATTTTGTTTTTCGTACTTGTATATGGCAAAAATAGGGGCGGGGGGAAACAGAAATAGGAAGTAATCAGAAAGATGCCTTCTTTATTACAAAGGTACCAAGCTTTGTCTCATCAGTGTACATAACAAATAACCTAAAGGTGATTTACACAATTGTTGGCAAGTGGAGTAAAATTCAAGTTGCCTGTGCTCCAGTATGACTGAAAGCTATGGGATAGCTCTGAAATATGACTTAATTCAAGACATATGTATCCCATGCTTTGATGAGTTAGTATTATCTTAGGTTTGAGGGCGTTACAGCAACACTGACATGGCTTCAGGTTAGCCTGGAACATAGTCAGAGTAAGTACAGCTAGTCTGAAATGACAGTGACTGCACTTATGGGACTAGGGAGAATCGTCGGAAAGTATCATATGCACAAAGTTCAGTTACTCCAATAGCACCAGACATGAGAAAGGGCTCTGTTTAGTATTCTTCCTGTAAGTGCAATATTTTAAATTAAACAATAATCAAGTATTTTTAAAATATTAGTAATTTGTAACTGTTTTACAGATAACGAATCTAGTATTGACACTTGTCTTAACAGCTTGTGTTAACGCCCACATATTGAATATTTAGATAAATATTACCCATCATCACATTTGTACTCAACTCGGGCACCGAATACAAACTCCTTTCCACTGGTAAGTTCAAATGAACCAAACTGAATATCTCCAGGATGTCCACAGGGCTTATCTGTTAAGAAAAAAAAAAAAAAAAGAAACAATATTACTTACTGCATACATAGGGATGTGAAAAGTAGCACTTTTCTAGTAATTGGAGACAGTACTTTTGAAAGTACTCTCAGCATTAGCTTGATTAACTCCCTTTTTAAAAAATCATTGTCTTCAATAAGAATATACTTGGATTAAGGATTTTTTTTCTTTTAAATTTAAATAATAAATTAGCAGCTGTTATTCCTTTAAAAAGACTGATCTTGTTTTAAGTTTTATGACGAATTTAATGGCAGGATGTAACTTCAGCTTTTCACATAACTTAACATAAACTAGGTACAAGAGCTTCCACTCTAGAAGCCACCCATGACTGGAAATGAAATACCCTTAGTCTGATGGGGACTGTGCTGAGTAAAGAGGGAAGATCAAAGGCTACAAGACTCTTGCGTTCCTCAGTCCCTTCTGCTCAAAGTTTCCCATGTGACTTCTCTTGTGATCTGGCCCTACCTATTTGCACTGGATCCCCAAAAGAATTGCACAGATGAGCACACCAACTCTCTGATTTATCTACTTTTGACATCATTGTAAGGACTGTAAAATAAACTAATACAGAAAGTTTAAAAATAAGTGTTAGTGCTTCCCAGAATAAATCCTTCTTGGCCCCTGCTAGACCAAATTTGCATATTTTGGAGTATGCCAACATTCGTAGCTTTTTTAAGGAAGAGATGAGTAAGCAACCTCTAAACACGCTTCAGTGTGACTCGGAGAAAACAGACAACCCCATGCAGGCTAATCAATTTTGCTGTCTAGTGCGGCCTATCCTGAAAAGGGGATGAAACCACTTAACCTGTGGCAGACCATTCCCTTTCTCTTTCCAACTGCGTCTTGCTGGTGTCAGTACCTGCTTGCTGGGTGGTAGTATTACTAAAATTTGTTACTAAAAAGCAGCACCAAATTTTGTGTAATTGGAAGGATCTATGTGCACTGATTAGTTATATAAATACATGAAAAACAAATATTTTTAAGTTAAATAAATAACTTGAATACTAAGTTAAATAACTTAATAAGTTAAAGTTAATATAAGTTATTATAAGTTAATATAAATGTTAAATAAGTTAAATGTATATTGTTTATGTTAAAGAAGATTATGTACAAAATAACAACAACTTTATTAATTGATTTTTACTCATGATTTATTTTAATCTCTGTTTGAATGAAACATGGAACTTATTTTATATTACTAAACCAAACATTTGCATATTATTAGTCAAAATTTTGTAGGTTAGGTATGTAAGAAAAATAAAAGCTAGTGTGTCTAAACTTGCTTTGTGTTTAAAATTGTTTTAGTATAGAAAGGAGGTATCTGTTAACTAACAATAATAAAGTTCAAATTCTTCACTAGTGAATTCTGTATGAGGGTAAGAAATACTTCTTAACTGTTAACATAGTATACTAAAAATAATAACAGCAGCTCTCATCCTTAGTGTGAATTTTCATTTCCTAGATTATAAAACAAGGGGGGAAAAAATGCTGTCCTACTTCTTTTTAACTCTAACCAATTTTCAACTCCCAAGAAATTAGATCTTGCATAAAACTAGTTGAACTAACTAAAGAAAAGATAATATTGTCTCTTGGCTCCCATTCAAAAGCTGAGTAAGTGCTTTATCCTGCTTAGACTATAAACTTCATCCATGCAGTGGTTTTTTTAACATTTTGGAAGCAAGTCTCTAATTACTTAATAATTTAAAGTATTTACATAAGCATTGACATAATTTGCAATAATAAGAAAAATAATTTAAAAAAAATTCTGACTGTAAATGGCCAGGAAATAATAGAACTATTTTTCAATATGCCAAAAAACAATGCTTTTTTGCAATTTGTGCGAGATAAACAGTGACTAGTTATTAATTTTTATTTAATTTAAAGACAAAAAGTCTATATCATCTGTTTAATAGACTTCTGTGTAGTGGTAACTTAGCTTATTGGGAGTTAATTTGTGTCCCAAATATAGTACAGTTTTATCAGCTAACCTAATGCAGAAATAAAACTGCAACAGCATGCATACAATGGTGCTAGAACCAGAACTATCTTGATTGGGTATCCTTAAAAAAGATTTCTATTCTCAGAGCAAATATACAAATTAGATTAATAAAGCTGGCCTGCTATATGACTTTCTCACATAAAGAGAAAAAATAAGTCTTTGATCTGGAGTAAAGGAACTTCTAAAAAATATTTCCTTATGCACACATGCCTTTTCAGATAATATTTTAAAGGAGGCTGAAATAAATAATTTACAGGTAAAGATACAATTGTAATTTCACATCAACATCATTGGCAAGTGATGTGATATGTCAGGTCAAATGTTTGCATATGTTTTGCATAAATACTTACTTCTGCATTCTGCCCATGGGAAGGGTTGTTCCCACACTCCATCAGTACACTGAAACACAATACGTCCAAGTTTTATATATCCAGGCCGACACGTGTATGTTACTTGAGTACCATGTGGGTAGGGAGGTTTTTCCCACGTTTCGGTAGGTACTTCTTTAACTCTCCTAGGAGGGGGTTCTTCACAGGCTAAAAATTAAATAAGTAAAATATTGGTGATTGAAGCACATGCTACATACTCCAAAATACTTTTATCAATAGAAAAAGTAAGAAGAAATCTTGAGCACAGTTGCAATCTACTGAGTGTATCTTTCCTACTTAATCATAAGAAAGGAAACTACTAAGCACAGACCTTTTGTAGGAATAGAAATAGACACTTAGAAGGACATAAAAATAGTCATGTCCATGCCAGAAAAACACAGTAGGCAGAGTCTTCATTCGTGAAATAGAAAATGACGGCATCAGAGATTAGTGCCTCTGTTCTAACCCCAGATGTCTCTTACCTTTCCGTCTGCAGAAGCTTCTCCATTCCAGGCCTTCCATCACCACAGAGGAGAAATCTATGCGCTCCAGAGATTTCTTTTCAAACTATCTTCTTTTCCAGCCACAACAGTCTCTGACTTACACTGAGTTCATGTTGCACTTGATCAAGTTCTGTCAAATCTCCCTTAGCCTTTACATCCCCTAAACTTTCTCTCAAGGCTGAGGTTACTTAATTTTCCAAAATTTCTTATTTCCTCCTGTCCATGGGATTACTTCTTATGATAAGATACTTGTCACAAGCTACAATTAATTCTTAGTAGTCACATTGACCTTTGCTATCTTCAAAGCATGTTGCCTCAATTTGGCAGAGGGATTGTCTGATATTACTCCTAAGATCAATGTCACGCAGCCCTTCCCCGAATGCCCGAATGCTCCTTATTGGGCCTTCTTCAGTGTCCATTAAATGTATAGCCAGGGCCATAAGACTTACACAGAAAGAACTTGAATTAATTTCATTAAGAAGTTCCTGAATAGCCTGAGAATGAGAAAAGTCACAGAATCACAGAATGGTTGAGGTTGGAAGGGCCCTCTGGAGATCATCTAGTCCAACCCCCCCCCTGCTCAAGCAGGGTCAGCTACAGCACACATTGCACAGGATCGTGTCCAGGCAGGTTTTGAATCAGGCTAATAGGAAAAGAAACAAATGTCAGGAAGCTGTTAATGAAAGACTAAATGATCTTTCATAAGAATTTCGTTTGTTTATATTTCTGACCTAATTTCAGTGACTAATTCTTTGTGCATTTGTGGCTGAAATTTGCTTATTTTAAAGGTCAAAGCTTTACCAAAATAACAGACTCAAGACATTCTACCTATTTAGCCTATTTTACATCTGAACATCAAAGGTGAGAATTCATCAAGAATAAATAACCTGTGAAAACCGAGGACCTGTGTGACCTGTGCAACCTGTGAGAAATGAAGCCTTGGAAAAGAAATAGGAGAAAAAATATCCACCAGGGATTGCAATTTCTTGGTGAGTGAGATATATTACTCTGTAGAGAGCTTGCCCAAAAAATCCGCTCATCAGTCAGTTGTAAGGCCACAGAGGTATGAAAGAGCAGCAGTATTCTCACTGGTGCTTTCCTAAAGACTGTCCAGGTGCTGCCTGAAGGTGCAACTACAGGAAAAATATTTAGGATCTTTCCTCATGTGAGGAAATGTGGAGTTATGGCTTGCTGATCTTAAATGGGGAGACTACAACCCATGAATAAGAAGATGAGTTTTCTAGTACGTGGTGTCTGAGCAGAATAAAGCTCATTCTTCCCATATCAAAGCATAGAAAGTGAATTTTAGTTTAGTCGAACAAAGACATCCACTTGAACACTCACTATTTTTATTTCACTCAGTGGAATACCTACCAAATCAGAAGCATAATTTTAGAAAATTTGTTTTAAAAAATTGGGAGAAATATTTATTACTTGCCAAAAATCTGTATAACTAAGTGTTCTGTAGCTATGGCATTCTGAAAATATAAGGAACGAAAGGTTTCTAGGCAGATCTAATATCTTTCTTTTGGCCAGCTTCAGTATTCAGAAAAAGCAGGCAAGCTTTTGAGGGCACTGCTGAGCTGATAAAGGAAGGGCGTGCCCATAGGTCCATCTTTTTTCCAACTACTTCAACTATTCTAAAAAGAAGTACTAGATTTCTCCTACTAATGATTACATTTGAGTAAAAATTATTGTTCTCTCTCCACTAGAGGGTACTACCATACTATCAAAAAGATAGTAGTGACTTCTGCATTTATTAGCAAGATTCATTAAAACACATAGAATCACAGAATGGCTGAGGCCAGACAGGACCTCTGGAGATCATCTAGTCCCACCCCCCTGCTCAAGCAGGGTCCTCTAGAGCACATTGCACAGGATCACGTCCAGGCAGGTTTTGAATATCTCCAGCGAAGGAGACTCCACTACCTCTCTGGGCAACCTGTGCCAGTGCTCTGTCACCCTCACAGTCAAGAAGTTTTTCCTCATGTTCAGATGGAATTTCCCGTGTTTCAGTTTCTGCCTGTTTCCTCTTGTCCTGTTGCTGGGCACCACAGGGAAGAGACTGGCCTCATCCCCTCGACACCGTCCGTTCATATACTTGTACACACTGATGAGATCGCCTCTCAGTCTTCTCTTCTCCAGGCTGAACAGGCCCAGCTCCCTCAGCCTTTCCTCATACGAGGGATGTGCCAGCCCCTTCATCATCCTAGCAGCCCTCTGCTGGACTCGTTCCAGGAGCTCCATGTCTCTCTTGTACTGGGGAGCCCAGAATTGGACATAGTACCCCAGGTGGCCTGGAGGCCTCACCAGGGCTGAGTAGAGGGGAAGGATTACCTCCTTCGACCTGCTGGCAATGTTCTGCTTAATGCAACTCAGGGTACCATTGGCCTTCTTGGTCACAAGGGCATATTGCTAGCTCATGGTCAACTAAATAGTTAACTTAACAGTTAACTTAATAGTTAACCACATAGCTAACTTTTCTCATCTTTCATGCCTGTATCTAGTTATGAGCAACTGCAAGAATATTCATATAGTACCAAATCTCTGCAGCACAGCAGTGCACATCTTACACTTACAGCAACATACCGTGTTCGGATCCCATTTGTAAAAAAAAAAAAAAAAAAAAAAAAAAAAAAAATCATAGAGAAACTACATATTATGTCTTAGATGTCTCTGATTCAAAAATCTGAACTATTATTACTTTCAATTGCATTTGTTAGAAAATAACAATTTTTCTGCTTCATAACTCATAATTTGATCTTTTTAATCTATATTTAATCTATTCTCTACAATAAATGGTATGTAAGAATTTGGTCTACGAATTGATCTTCATAACATAGAGTAATACTCTGCACATAGTAATATATTGCTTAAAAAAAATCCATGCAACTAAATAAATCATTTGTGGAGAGTTTACTGTGACACCGTGTGCCATGGTCCATGAAACTTTTAATTTCTCAGTCTTTTGTGACATTGAGTTTGAAGATTCTGTGCTTTCTTTAAACTGTTAAAGAGATTTCATGTGACAGCAACCCAATCAAGCCTAAACTGAGGGTAACACAGGGTAATGTTGGATGTTCAGGTGGAATTATCTAATGTTTAAAGAACACCAGCAAATCCAGTGACAGAAAATGCTTTGCTAAGCCTGAGCTTTCTGCTTTTATGTTGTGTCCTGTTTTATATGCTCTGGGTCCTATCTTCTGTGATGATGCAAATCTGCAACAGTATGCATTTTGGGTGACAGCCGGAAAGCTCAACACAGGCCACTGAGAAGAGTGAGAGTTTTTTATTCTGCTCCTCTCTTACAGATAAGAAAAACAGTACAACTCAGAAGTAATGTAGAATGGGGCCTCATAACTCCGTCTTGTTTATATTTAAAAAAAGGAAAGAAATTTAAAAAAAGATGATCTCTTAATACTCTCCTCACCATTACTAAGACATATTTGCTTCCAGGTTTCGTTTCAACTCTGCGTTCTTCACCACTGCTGACCTAGAGTCCGGGTTTGTGATTTCTCTATAGCAAGCATTACTGTCAAGAGTCACAGCATGTATGTGCATATTCCTGACTACAGCTAATTTTTTTCTTTTTTATGCAGTTTCTCAGTAGTTTGAGAAACAAATCTTCTGACAGGGTAGACTTCAAAGCTATTCATTACATCATGCATTTTGATCTCCATACCCACCAAAATTTGGAGTTTGATATTTTTATATTAGAAAGCATGGTTTAAATGCATGCCTTCAAATTCCTTCGTGGAAAACCAGAATAGCTGGAATTAATCAGTTAGTACTTCCTCTGTGATTTGACCTCAGTTAGAAATAGCTCAAGCTGCTTTCTCAGCATCATTGTACCAGTATCAACTTCAACAAAGCCAAACACAAACTACATATTCAGGAAGAATCACAGAATCACAGAATCACAGAATCGTTTAGGTTGGAAGGGACCTCTGGAGATCATCTAGTCCAACCTCCCTGCTCAAGCAGGGTCACCTAGAGCATATTGCCCAGGATCACATCCAGACGGCTTTTGAATATCTCCAGCGAAGGAGACTCCACCACCTCTCTGGGCAACCTGTTCCAATGCTCTGTCACCCTCACAGTCAAGAAGTTTTTTCTCAGGTTCAGATGGAACTTCCTGTGGTTCAGTTTCTGCCCGTTGCCTCTTGTCCTGTTGCTGGGCACCACGGAGAAGAGGCTGGCCTCATCCTCTTGACACTCCCCCTTCAGATACTTGTACACGTTGATGAGATCCCCTCTCAATCTTCTCTTCTCCAGGCTGAACAGGCCCAGCTCTTGCAGTCTTTCTTCCTAGGAGAGGTGCTCCAGCCCTCTAATCATCTTGGTAGCCCTCCGCTGGACTCTCTCCAGGAGTGCCATGTCTCTCTTGTACTGGGGAGCCCAGAACTGGACACAGTACTCCAGGTGAGGCCTCACCAGGGCTGAATAGAGGGGCAGGATCACCTCCCTCGACCTGCTGGCAACACTCTGCCTAATGCACCCTAGGATCCCATTGGCCTTCTTGGCCACAAGGGCACACTGCTGGCTCATGATTAACTTGTTGTCCACCAGCACTCCCAGGTCCTTCTCGGCAGAGCTACTTTCCAACAGGTCAGTCCCCAGCCTGTACTGGTGCATGGGATTATTCCTGCCTAGGTGCAGGACCTTGCACTTGCCTTTGTTGAACTTCAGGAGGTTCCTCTCCGCCCACCTCTCCAGCCTGTCCAGGTCCCTCTGAATGGCAGCACAGTCTTCTGGTGTGTTAGCCTCTCCCCCCAGTTTAGTATCATCAGCAAACTTGCTGAGGGTGCACTCTGTCCCTTCCTCCAGGTCATTGATGAATATATTGAACAAGACTGGGCCCAGGACTGACCCCTGGGGGACACCACTAGCCACAGGCCTCCAACTTGACTCTGCGCCATTCACCACAACCCTCTGAGCTCGGCCATCCAGCCAGTTCTCAAGCCACCTCACCGAAGAATTTTTCAGTTCCTGTGCAACAACACAGCTCTCAAAAAACTCACGTCGCCTTTCCATATGAAGCGTGCACTAAGAACCCTGTATGACCAATGGTAATAGTTGTCCCAGCTGAATCAAATATTGCTACATTCACATTCCTTTGCAATCTCTCTAAAGAAAGAAAGTATTGTGAAAAGAGAGGGCAAATTTAGGCAAACTTTCTTTTCAAATTCCAGAGTTTTTCTAGACTACTTTGCAAAAAAAGGAGACTTTATTAATGGCACTTTGAAACAATATGTATTACAAGTATGTAATGTAATACATTTCACTAACCTTCTGATTTTTTCAAATAAAATTTCCTTCCTACCAGCTAATTTTAAAAGAATAAAAATCTTAAAGAAAGGGCCTAATTCTACACGATTCTGAAGGATGCAAAGTAAAATTCAACAGATTGCTTGGATTGATAAGGTCTTCATAACCTTCATATAAAATTAAAAAACAATCTGAACTAAGTGAAGACACACTAGCTCAAAGACACACAACACCCTTTCTCCAACAGTCTATACATAAATCCCTGACAGAAAACACAGCAATCAAATTATTAAACATATAGCTTAAACAGTATAAACATAGTATCAAAGAAAAATAAACTCTGTGTGTCAAGCAAAGGAAATTGAACACTGAATAGGAAAATATTAACAGCAGCTAGAAAACTTAATGCCTCTTTAGCCACGGACAAAAGTGTATCTGTATATGCTTATCTCATGCAATGGATTAAAAACAGAACAAAACAAGGATGTCAATTGACAGATACTTTGTAAACACTTATTTCAGTCAATCTAGTAATCATTTCTCTTTCTCAGATTATCTCATAGATTATCCCAGACGTAAGAAATATACATTTATTGAGTGTTTGTTATTTTAGTCTACCAACCATTTATAGATATTTATGGTTTTAGATGTTAAAATAATTAACAAACAAACATAATAAAAATGAATTATCTGATTCTAGTTTACAGGGACAGTAATTACTAAAAAGTTGTGCAACAGTCTTTATCCAAATAAATAGGTGAAATAATACCTAAGGCAGCATAGTAAGTACTAAAGGTGCTAGGTACTGCGAGAACAAATCCCAATTATTGTTGACAGAGCTTCACTAAAATAAACTACAATCAGAATATTTCATTTAAAAATTATTTTAATTACATTTTCCTAGTATAAGAAAGTAGGCTTTTTTCCACATTAAAAACTTACCTCTTTCTGCAGTACAATACATCCAAAATAACAGTAGAACCGTATAACCCAGGAGTGACATGCTAGTGACTCAGAAACACAGTAAGCACATTTATAACAGCAGCTAACTTATTGGATTATTTTGCGTTATATGCACTCCTATTTTACTCAGTAACTGCTCCTGTGACTGACCTTGCAAAGTATTTATACTTTGATTTCAGCAGTCACTTCCTCTAATCCTCTTGCAACACACAACTGTTTCTCTTTTTTTTTGGATAGACACACAATGCAAACTTTGCTAAAATGAATAAATAAATAAAAGCCTGGTGATTTCAGCTGACACTGCCCCTTCCTGTGTTCAACTAGTTTTTACATCATGCCTCTATTTTTTTCATATTAATCTCTTTCATGCTCAGATAAGCTTATTTCTTTTGCGATCCAAAAGAAGTTGCTCAGATGAATTACTTTGTAATTCCCTGTGTTTTATATGCTCAGTTAAAAAGAATGAATGGAACTAAAAAATTATTTGTGTATAAATAAAAAATTATTTGTGTATAAATTCGCTGCTATACGAATGTCATTCAAGACATAGACTGAAAAAATACAAAGTGATTTACTAACCTATAGATTTTGCTTAAGATATCCAATTACCCTAAGCAAAGGAAACGTACTAAATTAAATAAATCTAGGCTATGCTGAACCATTTGTTTTGGTTTCACATTAGAAACCATAAGATGAAGATGAGAATGAATATAATTGCAATACAGATAACAAACTGTTTTAAAAAATAAAGATTGCACTAAAAGAGGAACTATAGGGCAGCATGGGGAGTAGGGGGTAACAGTGAAACTCCCCAGGGCTTGATGTTAGCAGCAATCGTATTAATATTTTCATTAAAGGTCTTGGCTTTAGTCACCATGCAAGTGTGGATTACACAAAGAAAATTGTTTGATACTGAGGCCTGGGGAGAAACGTAAGAGCACAAAGTGCTCTCAGGAGACAGACACAAAACATCTGCAGACTGGATGCCCCCTAGCTCTGATGGCAGACTGACATAGAGCAAGCACACGGCAATCTTGTGTATGTTCCCAAAAGACTACATAAACATATCCTTAAGCCCACTGGCTTAGTTCATCTACTGAAATAAGATAAAAGAGAGTTTGTTTAGAGAACAGATCCCCAATCAAGCCCCAATGCCAAAGCAGTGAACTTTTTTCTTCTCAAAATGGAGCTGAAGTGAAATTATTTCTTGAATTTTTTTTTTGTACCTGTGCTATGCTGTCAACTACCAGCTCAGGGCAATTCAAGTCTTAGTGAAAACTAACATTCAGTGTTTACACCTGCCACAGATCTGCCAGATAGCATCACATCTCTGCTTTTCCCTCCTCACTTCTCTCCTGCCAGCTGACTCATATGTACAGACTGAACTCCTGCCCTGCTCCATGACCCTGTGATGATTGGTCTGCACCAATTTTGAAGTTCCTGGCAGTAAAGAGCATCTAAGCAGCAAAGACCTCTTTTTACACCTGCCCAAGCTGAATTCTTGGCAAACGGCTCATGGGAGAGAACTGACGAAGTCAGTGATCCCTTCTGTGCTGTGGTAGAGAACCATGTGCTGGTATAGACAGCGGCGCTCTAAGTGCACCAGGACAGTCTCGCCTGTTTGTCCTTCTCTGAAGCAATCTCATGCACGTATGTGTGTGCACACGCTTCTGTGCCAGTGGGCTGCAGAGTGCAAAAGCAAGATTCCTTGTAGTGAGGAGGGAGTGAGGATGGGTTAGCCCTTCCTGTCACAGCATAAGTACTGATTTTCAAATGTAGCAGTGACACTGCTGCTTTCCAGTTTCTCAACCACTGTGCCAAGCTGCAAAAATGCTGAGGCAGTGCTGGAAGGCACTCAGGTGCCAACCAAGAGAAGGTGGCTCGAACCCATTAGCAGGAGAAACATATGTTGCAGGGACGTCCTCATTTTTATTGTTTCTTCAGTTTTCAAATGTTGTATTTGCTGACATCATGAGGCTTAAATCAGTTCTGGCTCAAACCGTTTTCGGGTTACTAAACCACTTGTCAAAACATTACTGGCTTGAACCACAGTCAAAGAAAGGTAGTTTCAGCTATACCTGAACCCAAACTGGAACACAGTGAATGTTAAAACCACTTAAGCTATAAGATATCACAACACGAGAGCAGATAGTTATAAACATCCTAGAAATTAAATTTAAAGTGGAAATTAGAAGAATCGCCTGAGAAGTGAGGCTCAGAAGTAATCTTTTTACGGGCATTATATAAACATAAAAACCATCTTCAGTTGCAAAACAGGGACCAGAGTCAGTCCTTTCCAGTCCCATGTTCTTGACCTTAAGTCAGGGGCAAAACTTACATTAACCAAACGGAAATAAAAATCAGGAACTTAAGTCTTTCTTCCCCTACTCACATCCTCCATAGGCTGTAAACTGATTCAAAACTGATTTTCTTTTAAACATATCTGGATGACATGGTCATCTCCAGGCTCTAAGGAAATAGAACGCAGAGGAAAACAGACTAATGAAGAGGTGTCAGTGAAAGAGGTAAGCTTCAGGACCTCTAAGGGAGGCAGAAGAAAAATCTCTGGAGTACGCTTACCTTCCTTCAACTTAAAAAAAAAAAAAAAAAAAAAAAAGGCAGTAACACCTAAGTAGTCATGCAGTCAAAGGCAACTGGATTTTACATATCAAAGCAGAAAGATTTTACCCATCTCCTTGCTAGGAGAATTGGTGCAACTGTACTCAAACATTGTGGTGGTCACAATCAGACAGTCAAGATATTACCAGATACTTCCTCTAGTAGCAAAACTGCATGCCCAGGCAACATAGAAAAGCAGGAAAATTCACACAGAAAGGATGTCAGGGAGGTCATCTTGTCCAACCTCCTGCACAAAGAAGAGTCAACTATGAGGTCAGACCACATTACTCAGGGCCTTGGTCGTTCCCTACTCAATTTTGGGAGTTAAAACTAAGATTCAAAGTGTTTGTTCAAACATGAATGTTTCTGAGAGAAGAGTGTTAGGAAGCTATTTGGTAACATGAATGCACACCTGAGGAAGTCAGTGTCTTCCAAGAGACAACTAGTGATAGCTAATGAGGGGAGCTTAGTCACAGCATCTCTGACCACAGTGTAATTTTATTAGCATGTGATAACATGCTTGCTGTCATACTTCCAGTGATATCATTAGGGTCTATAGAATCGTAGGATCTGCCATCGAGGTGCTCAAAAAATCTTCACAGAAGAGCCTTATCCCACTATCTTACTGGTGGGATGGTTTCCATTGTCTATAGTTTTCTTTCCTCCCACTGGCAGACCACTTGAAATTACACATCATTCGATATCTAATCACCTAATGGTGTCACAGGGGGGGAAAAAAAAAAGCTCAGTTCACATAGCTTAAACCAAATCAGGATCAAACTGGTTTATTGATTTATTAACGACACACAATAAACTAGCAATCAGTGAACAGGATCAGGATCAGAGATTCTGGATCAGTATAAGCAATACAACAGGTTAACATTTTGTGTCTAATACTGTGCCTTAAGAAAAAACTTCAAATTCTAAGCACCCCTCTCTCACTAACCTCCAAAGTACTAATCACCTAAAGTCATGAGCACCCACCCACAGTTACAGCATCCACTCCATCTCTCACAGGCCATGCAGGATACAGGCATCCCCCCCACCTCCTCCGGGGTTGCAAGTTCCCATACTTACACCTCCTACTGAAGGTGCGCGTGCTTGATGTGCACCCATGCTGCTCCTTACAATCTGCTAATGCACATGCTGGAAAGAAAGTACCACACAAGGTCACATATCTGCACCCCAGGCGCAGGTCCCTACTGCTTCACCTCACACGGTGCAGCCCGAGGGCAGACGCTCTGCCAGGTCAAGGCAGAGGTCGCTATACCAGTGGGGTGACTTCTGCCAGCGTAAAACCAGACTGCTCTGGTTTTGACTGCAGCTCTGTTTGCACTCAAAAATCTCTCCTTTCTGTTACAAATTTTCATGTTCCCTTTACACTTCCTTCCAAATTGAGACCTTCTTTGTTTGAAAGGTCTCCCTGTAACTCCTGGGTTACTGTTTAATCTGACTGGTGGTTGTCAACCCCTTTAAGGTGATCAGCTAGGTTATGCACTCTCTGGGGTATGCAAGAGTTGACAGTTTTGGGTGTTCGTACTCGCATTCCTATCTTAACAGCTGCTGTTATTCAGGCCATTTCACAAAGGCTGGCCATGCAAATATTCCTGTAAATGGAAAAGCAATATGGGGAATTCTTTGCATATTCCTTTAGCTTCTTTTAATGCAAATTAGCTAACAGCATGTGTTCAGACAGGGCTTTGCAGAAATTATGGTAGACATACATTGAATCCTAAAAGTATTTTGTACTACACTCCATCAGACTACAGAGATGCTACTGTGAGATCATACTTAATTTACAACGTACAGAGGGAAAAAATAGGACTGCAATGCTCCTACTTTTGATCATCTACTTGGTACAAAAGTCTTAAGCACCAGCTCATTCTCCTACCTTGGTGTTCTGTAGTCAAAAGCAAAGTAAAAGTTACCTGAGTGTTCTTCACAGAAAGATACTCTCCTGTATAAAAACAGCTGTCAGTATCTCTAGTTTAAATGAAGCCCTCCTACTTGCAACCAAACCACTGGAAGGCACTGATAACTGGCAGAGGTTATCATCATTTTTTATGAGCTCCCTCTCCCCTGCTGCAGTGCTGCCATCCCTTTTTCCCATTTCAGCTTTATAGTTTTTTTTCACGTCACCACAGATGTCAGACCACTGTGCTAAGTAAGGCCAGGTGAAGCACTGTAGTGGATGCTTTTGGATCTATGCTGTGATGGTTCAGCATATAAGAACAGATAGATCAGGTCATAACGCATGCCCAGCTCCTAGAATAGCCTTAAAGGGATCATGCCTGAAGCACAGAGTATTGCTCACAGGACTATAGAAAGCATGCCCTCTATCTGCCCTGTGAACACTGTGCCAGGCCCAACTTCACCTCCCCTCCCAATCAGGGCTTCCTACCTTCTCGCTAACAGACAAAACGCAAATAGCAACAATTCCTAAAACTGCTTCTACTCCTGTTCCTTTGCCATGATTTCAGTTTAATCAGACACATTTACACAAAAACAAAAAACAAATAACCTTCTTTATTCTTTTTGATCCTTTTAGAGGAATTATCAAAT